GAAAAATAAAAATACTAGCAATAAAAGTGAGTCTTACCTTAACTTCTTGAAGTTATTTGAAATTGTTGTTTTCTGAAAAACAAGTTAACAAGTTAGCATAAGAGAAAAAGAACATTAAACTAACGAAATAATAAGAAAATAAAAAGTAAAAGCTGGTCATTTTGAAAACAATACTACAAGAAAGCAAAAAACAAAATATGCATTACGTGTTTGTGTAATATGAAATCACCTGGTGAATTTCACCAGGGTAAATTTAAAATTTTAATAATTTTAATGCATTGCAGATCAAGGTGAAATTCACCGAATATGAATGTAAAATTAATCCAAAATTTTATATTAATAAGAATTTAATAAATGTTTAAAAAAATTTTAAACTATTGTAAAATACTTTATTTAATAATTAAATATTTTTTAAAGAAAATTTAGATATTTAAAAATTTAAGGTAAAATTCAATATAATTTTAAAAGGTCACACTATATATAAGGTAAAATTATGAGACAGAAAGGGTTGGTAAAATTACTAGTAAATCTGAAATTTTGTGAGGAGACCTCTATTAAAAGTAAGCGGGTTAACGTTTAATTTGGAAAAAAAATCATGGATTATATGACTCATGTTTGAACATTCTGTGTACAAATAGAAATTGCTTTCATCTAAATTTAAAATTGAAATTAATCTCTTTGGAATCATTAGTAATAAATTTATTATAGTGAGTTTGACATAGTTTCATTCCAACTAAAATAATTTCTTTCTTTTTTTTTTTTTTGCTGCAATGCATATAATTCTTTATTAAGATTTTGAAGTAATACAATACATGTCAAAAATTCTAATTAAACACTAAGAAGTAAGAACTAAACTATCTGCTAACTTACTGTCAGTGAAGGATTTAGGCTAGAGAAGTAAGTATATCTTAGAGACGTCCTTTCTTAACTCACTGCTACTGCAGATAAAATCCAAACTGAACAAAAAGAAATAAAAGAAGCAACAACAGAAAAGTCAAGGTAAAAAAAAAAAAATTAAAAAAGGGTTAAGGCTGATCCAATTTGATTATATGTTTAACATAACCCCCCTATCTAATAGTCGAATTTGAGAAGAAAATCAACAGTATATAAAATTCTATTTTTAGGTATATTTGTACTATTACCGTATATCGCAGGTCATAGTACCCCGGGTATCTTGCAAATTTTGGACGTTTGGACCTGTATCTGGGGGTATATTACATGAGTGGGTACTATACATAGGGGTACAGGATTTTTAAAATATCTGGGGTACTTGCCATGTATAATATCTGGGTATTGTGGATAATCACTATGATGTAATCTCTCGTTAAGAATTTCTAAATGTATCCTATTTCTCATATCTTGATACTTTTTCAAGATATTTTACATAAAATTACTTATCTAAATACCCTTATTAATACATAAAAATGTCTTTGTTTGATTTACATGTCTTTATTTACGTGTCTTTTTTTTCTTTCTGCTAAAAGTAAAATGGTAGTTATTGGCAACAAGAAAAATAAAAAAACACGCAATCGTTTACCACAAAAGAAACGAAGACAATGGAATGTAAGAGAAAAATTAATGATATTGCATTATTATGAAAATAATAATAGAAGTATACGTGGAACTGCTAAAATATTTGATATAGTGCAGAACCTCTATACTCAACTACTTATGTATAGTAACAATTGATTGATTATAAATTTCTAAAAAAAAATTTTTTTATATTGAAGTAAAAAATTTAACCGATAATTTTTATAGATATGATCATTAGCTTTAAAAATTATCGGTTATTTTTTTTCTAAATTAAATTTTAGCTAAATTTTAAATGTTTAAAAATCTGTAATTTAAATATACTGACAAAATTTAGTTAAAATTGAGACTAGTCTAATTTTTGCATTACAGATCTTTTTTAGCCACATTTAATGTAATATTAATTATTATTTTACTTCAGATTTTTTTTTCAATATGCTAAGAAGAAAAAAAAGTTCTAATATTGCAAAAAAAAAAATTAATAAACAAAATTATTTAAGTATAGGTTAATTTAATGTTATAAATAATGATATTTAAAAGACAGTTCAGATGATAAATTTATAAACAAAAGAATTCAAAAATTAAGTAATTTTACTTTAATTTAATCAAAAAATGCATATAATAAAATATAAATCTCATTATCATATACCTGATTCATCAATCATCAGTTTATAATGAAATACAATAAACAAATATATTATATAAATTTTTATATCATATAATTAATAAAATCCTAATTTCTGATTGGCTAATATATGTATCACGTGATGCTTACATAATCTAAAAATTGAGACTTTTTTTTTATTTTTTAAATCGATTCCTTTTAACAAATAGAGTTTAATTCTTTTTATAAAATTAAAATTCAATTATAGAATCAAATTTTATTTAAATTTTTTTAAGTTCCTATTATAGAGGTTCTGCACCATATTCAGCCTAAACAATTGCGTCATGTAGCTAAACTTCATCAGGGTAAACCTGATGATTTATTTGCATGGATAAGTTAAAAAGAGCCAATGGAAATGCCATTACTCAAAAATTAATTACCAATAAAGCCATTTCCTTATCCAAAAGTCCAGAATCATTAGCAAATAATCCAGATATTGTTGGATTCAAATTTTCTAATAAATGGCTTGATGGATTTCTAGGAAGATATGACCTTAGTGAGCGTCATAGAACAACAGTAGTACAGCAACTTCCATCAGATTTAATTGAAAAGCAAAATATTTTTTTGAGTTATATTATGTACCTAAGAATTCGCAATAAATATGAATTAAAATATATGGGCAATATGGATGAAATGCCCATGTGGTTTGACATGCCAAGTAATACAACTATAAACCAAAAAGGAGCAAAAACCACAAACGATCATCATTTACAGTTATACTTACATGTATGGCTGATGGTACAAAACTTCCTGCAGTTTGCATTTTCAAACTGAAAAATATTCTGAAAGAAAAATTTCCATATGGTATTTACATAAGAGCTAACAAAAAAGGGTGGATTAACAAACAGGAAATGTTGTGGTGGATTGAGAACATTTGGACTTCAAGGAACTGTTTTAGAAATTCACGTTCTATGTTAGTATTAGATTCTTTTCGTGGGCATATAGTAAATTCTGTCAAAAATCGATTAGTGGAAAAAAATACAAATATTGCTGTGATTCCTGGTGGTTGTACATCCAAATTGCAACCATTAGATGTTGCAATTAATAAGAGTTTTAAATTTAAGGTAATATTATTTAACCCTTTTCTTCAATTTTATTCTTATTAGTTACTAATATTAGTGAAATTATAGGTTAAAGATCAGTATAATAATTGGATGATATCAAATATTCATGCCTTTACAAGATTAAAAGACCTTCTTATTTAACAGTCGCAACATGGGTTAAAGAGTTGTGGGATGAAGTTGATGAAAATCTTATTCAAAGATCTTTTAGAAGTTGTGGAATTTTAACAAATATTAATGGCTCGGAAGATGATTGTATTTTTGATCATGATAGTTCGTTGAATAGAAATAACGAAGTGTTAGAAAATTTGGATAACTCAACCGATGAAAATTATGAAGAAGAATATCCCGAAGAAACTAATTATGAGAATAAATGGGATGTTAAAGTTGTTATTGAAGTTAGTCAGGAAGAAGATAATGACGAAAGTGAAAGTGAGAAAGAGGAAGATGATGGTAATTATGATTATCAAGATTCTGATGATCAACGAATTAAAAAAAACATATAAGGTAAAAATTTTTTTTTTATATTATTTTATTCCATTTATTGCTAATTATTAAACTTGCATTATAATTAGAAATAAAGGACCGACTAAGGAGTATATTACTATAAATATATTTGTATAATGAATAATAAACAAAGTTAATAAATGTTAAATAATATTCCATTTAATAAATAAAGTTGTATCCAGAATATTATATTATAAATAAGTATTTATACCCTGGGTATTTTACAAATTCTAAGATTTTAAATTGAAAATTTCTATATAAAGTATCCAGATACTTTTGCATAGGAGGGTACTGTGGTCCACGATATACAGTAATTTTCCATTTTTAGAATTTTAAACATTCAGAATTTTAACATTTACACGTATTAAAATTAAAAATCGTGCATACTGCACAGTGATGTTGAATAAACTTTTTCTTACATTTTAAAACATGCGTTTAATTGTCACAGTCAAAGAAGGTGTTGAAGATATTGTTAAATCAAATCTTATAAAAGTTGATGATTATTATTTTGAGAGCCTTTTTCATAAAGTTACACTAGATGCATATAGACAAAAAAATTTTGAAATATATTGCCAGGTGGATGAAAAATCTTCATGAAATATGCTAAATATTACCTTGCCAATCATTTGCTGATCATATATATTGATTATCATGTTTTTTGAGGGCTTCAAGTAAAGCCATATTTGCTCAAAAAAATTTTATAATCATTTTGTTTGGTAATTTAGATTATCAAAAATATACTATAAAATTATTGTGGCAAAAAAATGTAGTGCCAAAGTTAGATTTAGACCAAAATATCAATAATTAGTATTTATAAATCATATGCTGATTATCTGCTAATTTGACTTTGAAACTTGAAACTTTTATAATATATTATTTAAATATTTAAGAATCTATGGCTAATATAAACATGAATAATTTTTAATAAACAAAAAGTTATCATTAAAAAAATAATTGCAATTATTAATTAATAAGGCTAATGTTTAGCATAACTTTATGATCTGTTTCAAGAATTAATTCATTAACATTAAATAGAAAATTCAAATAAAATAATTAAAGTTTTAATATATTGTTCATTTTTTATAAATAGTTTTAAAATTCACAAAATTTTTTTTATAAAAATAGCACTATTTTTAATACAAAATATTATTATTTAGTTTAAATATAAAACAGCAATAATAAAAAACAACATTTTTTTTTAATATAATATTAAAGTTTTGAAAAAATTATTCAATAAAATGTTAACAGAATCTACTTGCACCTTTAATTCAACTAATTGCAAAGGAGTGATTAGACAAATTACTAATAATATAAAAATTCTACTTACTGAAGAATACAATACTGAAACTTTTGTAAAAGACTACAGACCATTACTTAAAGAACTTGGTATTAAGAACGATATACAACTCACCTACTTGTTGTTTACTCTCACCATTTTTGCTGATGAGTATAAAACCTCTATAAAGAATTACATAAACAAAACTATTTAAGAACAAGTGGTGCAGTTCGAGTCAACAGAACTATCCAATGATATGCTAATATCAATACAGGTACAGCAAAACATTAAGCACTAATCAATGGTTGTAGAACACAATGATCAATACACTGAACACCAATCAGAGGACGTGATCGTAGAATCTTCAATAAAGAACTTCATAATGAGTTCCATAACAAAGACATACCCTATAATCCAAAAGAAAAAGGATGTACTGTTACGTTTGCAGAAATGGCCTCCAAAAATCTAGATGTAGGCAACAACCGTAACACCTCTCTGACTCCACCTGGTAATAGGCAAAAAAGAATGTAACAAAGCATAGTACAGTATCTGATAGTAAGGCTGAAGAAACAATAATGTGCTCCTTCCAAATAAATATAATCAGTAATAACTGGATATACTCCAGTACTTAAGGATAATATTTGGAAAATTACTTTATATGATATCTCCTCCATCTGTCTGGGCTTAACTTGAAATTCTTCAACATCTTAAAAAATGGGATCACGTAAGTGCTAAGGTTGCTGGAGAAACTAGAAGGTTTTGGCAAGTTGGCGAAATGCTGAAATGGTGAAACTTTGCCAAAACTCTTATTAAAAAGTTGGCGAAACTCTGGAGGAGACAAAACTTATTATAAATGCTGAAACTGCTAAAACCTTGAGAGGTTTAGGCAGGCAACCTTAGATCACTTTCAAGACTAAACGTCAGAAGAAATATTTAACGGTCACCATCTCAATTAAAAATTTCTGCGTAATAATTTTTTTTAAAAAATATATTTCCTTTATTAAATTTTTATTACATAAACTTAAAAAATTATTATAGAATAAATAATAAATGATAAAGCAGTAGAGTTTGTCTCTGCTTTTGATGATACATTTTACATACTCGTTAGAACACATTTAAGTTCCTTTATAGAAAACGGTTTTCTCAAGAACTTATTCAAAAAAACCCATCAGTAACTATGGATAAAAGTCAGTTACTGATAGAGATGTTTGGCAATGCTGCCAACCCCGCAAACTTCACTTTACAAGTTCAAGCTACAAACATACAACCATCTATGCTATCACTATTATATTCTTTAGCATTATATGTTTCATTCAAGTCGTGGAATTCTTAGATGAGCCTAATGAAAATGAAGATGAGTCTATTTCAGGAATACTAACACCAACTCCAGTAGGCTAAACGCCTCCAATACTGTCTGATGTGAAAATGACCCCTGATGTAAGTTACATTTTAAGTTTTGTAAGTTACATGTAACTTACATCGGAAGGTTTTGGAAAAAATATCAGAATAATTCGGAATCAACATATTTTAAAATTATAACAATTATAACATTAGATTGATTCTGAATTTCCGATTTTTAAATTGATTTAATGATTTACTAAAACGTGATTTGAATAATAAAAAGTGATCAAATTGATCATTAATTGAGCAACACCACACGAAATCTTTTTTCTTCGAGTTTAACCCATTTTATTATGCCGAAAACAAGAGGAAATTTTTGGTCTGAATATGAAGTTACTGTTGATTCTAATGGAAAAGAAAAATATACATGTAAAACTTGTTCTGGTACATGGTCTAAAAATGCTTCTCGTCTTAAAGAACATATTGAAAAATGCAAAGATATAAATGTAGAAACTGAAACTTCACAACCTCAAGGTACTAAACGTAAAAGACAGCAAACATTTGATGAATACAAATTTGCTTTTACTTCCAAAGATCAGATTATTTTAGAAAGTCTTCTTATACGGGCTTTTACTCAGCGGGTATTTCATTTAATGTAATTGAAAATGAAGATTTTATTTATTCTTAAAAAAAGCCTGCCCTTCTTTTAAGATTCCTTTACGTTTTACTCTTTTAAACACTCTTTTAGATCAAGAATTTGAACATTTAGAATTAGTTGTCAACGCCAAAACCATTATTTTTTAAAGCAACTGCTTTTAAGGAAGAACGTCATACTTCAGAGAATATTGCACTAGGACTTGAAACTACTATGAAAGATGCTGATATTAATAAATTTGGTGCAATAATTACAGACAATGCGCCAAACATGAAGGCTGCTTGAAAGATTTTAAATCAAAAATATCCCAAAAAAATCTTCCTTGGCTGTTGGGCGCATGGTATTCACTTATGGATGAAAGATATTATAAGTATTGAATGGATAAAGGAAATAATAGAAAAAGCAAAAAAATTATCAATTTACTTTCATAATCACCAAGTAATACTTGCTGCACTTCGACGCTTACAAAAAGAAAAATATGGAAAAAAAATCGTATTGATTTTACCTTGCGATACATGATGGAGATCTTCATATTCTTGTATTAACCAGTTATTCCTTACAAAATTAGCTATTTGATCTACTATTGCTGAGGATCATCTTAATCTTGATGATAGAATGAAGTCACTTATCTCTAGTGATACTTTTTGGAATGATCTTGGAAAAATTCAAAATTTTTTAGAAAATTTTGCTATTTTTATTAAAAAATTAGGAGATGAAACATTTCTTTCTACTGCATATCTTGAATATCAGCAACTTAAAGCACATGTGCGAAATAATACTGATTTACCTGAAAATATTCGTGAAGAAGTTGAAAAATTTGGCACAAATCGGTGGCAAAACTTCTTATACAATCCAGTTGTCATTGTTGCTTATAAATTAGATCCACGATATTGTGGTAGTCAGCTTAATGCACGCATATTTGATCCTATTATTGAAAAGGAAATTTTAAGTTTAGTAGGGGAAGAATATAAGGATATAGTTTTAACAGAACTTGCTGAATATGTTGGGAAAACAGGAAGTTTTGCGCATAGCAATTTGTGGGGAGATGTAATTCAAAACCCCGTTAACTGGTGGAATTTAATGAAAGGAAGATATCCAATTCTTAGTGATATAGCCATTCAGATACTTTCCATACCCGCAACTTCAGCAGCCAGTGAAAGAAATTGGTCTACATTTGGATTTATTCATTCAAAGTTACGAAATAAATTGCATGAAAAGCGGGTAGAAAAATTGTTTATATGTTTTGGAATCTGCGGATATTACGTTCATTAGAAAAGCCACTTACTATAGAGGGCTGGGTTGAGAAAGTATTGCAAAAGAAAGCTATAAGAGAAGCTGCTAAAGGTAATAATGAACAAGAAATTGACGTTGAATCTGATTTTTCTGATTTAGATTTTCAATCCTATTCAGATTTGGAAGAATTATTGGATGAAGAATTAAATGAATTTCAAGATTAATTTTTTAAATATAATATTGTAAATGTAATTAATTTCTTGAAAAAATAAATAAAGTAGATTTTTATTTTATTTTTAAAATAAAGACTAGTACTGGGGTTGCACTATACATAGGAACAGGTACAAACAAAGTAAAACCATTATTCCAAGCTAAGGATTAATCCAACCTCTCGAACGAATTGAAGGGGTTGCCTAGCCTCGCTCCACAAAGAACGCAGGCTTAGCCGCAACTTAAGTTACGAACTGAATAGAGCAAAAAAAGACACAACCACTAATTTAGCGAGAGTTCCCAGTCAAAAAGAAAAAAATTAATTCTGCCTATTCTGAAATAAAATCTATCATTCTCATAACTACTAAATCTTTAAGAAAAAAGAATGACAATTACCCAGCGTTAATCGAGAAAATACTTAGACTAATTTTCGCAGTAAGGATAAAATTTCTGCTAAAACCACCGTGTTATCCTTATTACCTCCTTTATCCCTAGACTTCTTATTGGACTTTGACTTCTGGGATTTAGGATCCTTCAACGAGTCTTTAGTAGATTTGGCTTGCTTTTTAGCACTAGTTGAGGATTTCTGGTCCTTCTTCTTAAGGTTAACGCTACCAGACTGTTGCATGGTTTTCCCAGGCTTCTTGTCAGGAACATTTTTTGCCTTTTGTTTGGTTGGTGCTTTCTTCAAAGTAGGTAAAGAGTGTCGACACCATTTCAACTCTGGAGAATCTTCCTGGAAAGCTTGCGGAGTTTCTAAGGCTTTGAGAGTAGCCTCCCAATTCTTAAAATATCCTACGAGCTTCCTCTTACCTTTACTTGTTTGTATAATTTTAAACGCGCTAGCAACACACGTCGTTAAAAATGGTTGTGGTTTACGGTCTGCCCACAAGGTAGCCATCGTCATGTCAACTGGAATATCGTGGATGACAGCTTGGAACTTTTCACGTTGTTTTCTTTCTCGTAAAGTCCAACTTGCGGGAAACCATCTCACAGGTATACCTCCCAGGTCAATTGTTCAGAACTTGTTAAATTGGGGAAGGGTAAATGAGTTCAAAACTATTTTGACTCAAAGAGTCTGATATTTATGTTGCCATTTTAATGACAACTTCAAAGTTTTGCCCCATAACATTAATTCTCCTAAGATTTTCTCAACGTCCCAGGTATACGGAATGTCATATACAATAATATCTCTGACTTGCTCTCGCTCATCATCGCTTTCTTTGTATCCTGTCAGTATATGTGTGACCCCAGGTGCGGTAGTTTTTGTCCCCAAAAGTAGGGTATTTTTTTTGTCTGGGGTTTGTGCCTCAGAATTTGCCGTAAATGATTGGTGTATAACTTGTTTATCTCCTGCAACACGCGCCTTTTGTTTATCTTTCTTCCGGAAAGTTTCAGGTGTCACAGTTTGATCAACAGGGGTCATATTCATATTAGGCAGTATTGGGGGGTGAAACATGTACTGGTTTTGGTGTAGTTTTTGGAGTTGATAAAAAAGTAGATCCAAATTCGTCATCAGCAGAGAGACATTCCGACTCTGAGTCACCCATATCACCAAATCTAGCATAGGCGCGGGTAGCAAAATAATCTCACGACCTGGATGAAGCGTAAAGAGCTATGGAAAATATTAGTGAAAGGGTGGAAGGTTGTATATTCATCGCCGCCGCTTGTTGAGCAAAGTTGTTCATATTGGCTGACTCGCCAAACATATCTACTAAAAGCTGTGCTTTATCTATCGATTGTTGTGGATTTTTATCAAATAGTGTTTTTAGGAAACCGTTTTCAACAAACTGTCCAAGCTGAAAAGTTGTGTAAGATAAAAATGACTCCCCTTCTACAGAAATAAACTTTAAAAAGTCTTCTTCTAGAGTTCCAACAAAGTCTCCCATGTTCAACATTTTTATTTTATGTAAAAAATTTTAAATAAAGTGAAAAAGTTTAAATAAAATTTTTGCAGAAATTTTCGTAAAAATGAAAAGGAGAAAGAGTTTTTCTTTCAATAAAGTAGATAAAGTGTTTCGTTTCATGAATTTTATTTAGGAAATTTTGATCACATGATATGCTAATTTTGTACCAATAGGAATCAATTTTATAATATTATATAAGATGTAGAATTAGAAAACTCTTTCCCGAATACATTTTTTACGAAAATTTTTGCATAATAATTTTTTTTTAAAAAAATAATCCCCTTTATTAAATAATATAAAAATGTCTATGGATAAGAGCTGAACATCAAATGAAGAAGCTTTAGACTTTGTTTCAAAGTTTAACAAAATTTATTTTCAAACTTTTACACACCACTTAAGTTCTTTTGTACAGGACAGTTTCCTCAAGGACTTATTTGAAAAAAACCCCTCAGTACCTAAGGATAAAGCCCAGATACTGATAGAGCGATTTGGCGAAACAGCCAACCCTGCGAACTTCACTTCACAAGCCAAAGCTATGAATATACAACCCACCA